TGAACATGCTGGCAAACTTTTGGCAAACTTTTCTTAGGCTGGCTAGCTAGGTGACAAATTTAAAGCATGCTGGCTCGTTGACAACCTCAACGTCAAGCACTGACTGGGAGTCTGATAACTTCAAAATCCTGCTTGCTGGTAGTGAAGAGTGGGTATTTTTTTCCCAGGGAAGTTAAATATTAAACAAGATTGACATAGCGACACTCGGGTAATGTTGAGCACACTGTACGGTGGATTTTCTTCGAAACAGTCGTTGGGTACTCCTGACTTGTAGGTGTGATTTAAATTCAATATTCTTGCAAATGTTATTTTTCAATAGTTAGTTCATGGCAACCTACACATTTTGCCTTTGTTGAAGCCTTTACTGACCACTGGTGGGTGGCAGGAAGAGAAGTGCATGTACAGCAATGTAGGTTTTCAGTGAGGTGCATGTTAAGGATAGATGCGTTTTTAAATCTATTGCCTTTCCAAACACAAGTGTCCAGGAAATGTGACACAAAATGTTCATTTAGGGATACTAAGTAGATTGTTTTAGAATTTTATTTTAGGGATATTTCTTTTTACAAAATTGGGATACAGGTTACTTCCAAAATTTACCCAGGTTATGGATTTTTCAGATACTCCCTAACAGGGCCTCCTTATTGCAGGTACTTAATGCATAACACTTTCATTCAAATAATTTGTTGCAAGCTTTGTCAAAACAACCAGAGGGATTCAATATTTTCAGACATATCTTAGCCAGTTTTCATTTCAATGAAAACTTATTGCAAAGCTCCAGAACAAGAGAGGAAGGAGGAACCTACCCCATGTAACATAATCCCAGTGGGATTTTGGCTAATAACATGGTAGATCTCACTAGCCAAAGAGCTCTTTCTACTAGCCATAAAACTTTTTTTCTCCTAAAACAGCAAGGAAATGCGCCAAAATACGTTGTTTGTGACAAATTTTTAACTTTTAGGCATTCCAACCTACTTTAGGCGAAGAGCCTGGAATCTTGTTCTGTAGAAAATGCCAGATTACTAAGCTCCAGACGTTCCACTGATGCAACAACAAATTCTGCACTCCAAATGTACAATGAAAAGTTCTTATTCAAATTCATTTATGCAAATTAGCTTGTTTCAGTCTTTCACCCTTAGTCGCTCACGCATCCAAAAATGTCTTCTTTGGTTGGTTGAACGTGGGTAAAAAAATGTGCAGAGAGGCTGGAGACTAATCAGTATCCTGTAGACATGTGCAGTTTGTTCCAACCGGTTCTGCATTTTCAAGGCGGTGGTATTGTGGATAGTAATTATAACCATTTTTTGAGTTCCTTCAAGGTTTTTGCCTGAAGTTTCTTACACATATTTTGAGCACTAAAATTTTGAACTTTTTTAAGACAGTTCCGGTTCATTCCGGCAAAATTTATCACTGTTGTGGTTCCCACAACCATTTTCAGAGGAAGGTGAGAGATTTCTCAACCGTGTGCACATATGTGAACATCCATTAACTTGTCTACAAAGTTTCACTCTTCAGAGCATTGGCTGTGACATGGACATCCCCTGTTATTCGCATCACAAGATTAAACTGGCCTCCTTTTGTTGGTGGGAACGTATTCAAATTCAACACTGAAACGAGCAGCTGAAAGCCAAAACAAGCCAGTGAATTCATCAAGGAGGTGCCCGCAGTGGATAACTTGGATGTAAGCTGTGATGTTCAGAGGAAGTACCCTTCTTTCTTGTGTAGATGTTGTGTTATGAAGCTTGACCATGATCAGAAATCAAGAAACAGAATTACTAGCAAAATAAAGTTCCCAGGAAAAAAAGGTAATTGTCATGTATTCTCTTCTCGTGAGTCTTATGTTGCAAGAGAGGGAGCTCGCCCTATTTGTAGTTTCCTTCTAAGAAAAAGTCCAAGAAAGAGGGGCAACATTCCTGACATTATCTTAATTGGGCATAGCAGTGAATCTTCACCTGGAGCAAGTCCAAGTAGCAAAAAGAGGTCCGAACACGTGAGGCAAATTCTTAGTGACTCCTCACCATCAAGTTCTGTTGATAGTGGGAGTTCAAAGAAGCAATTCCATGAAGAGATACCAACAATGCTAAATAATCCTTTTGAAGGTGACACTTATCAGCTCACTGGCATTTGAAGAAAAGCGTTTTGCACATATTTTTCTGTGTAAGATCTGCGTGAACATTCCAACTGAGGCAGTAATGCTCAGTAATTGTCACCATGTCTTCTCTGAGCACTGCCTTCAACTCTGGCTGGCCTGCAATGGTGTGTGCCCTACATGTCGCCAGTGTGTTGACTTGGGGGAAGACATCCTGCCACTGCATCAACTCATGTTGGCAGTTTTTGATTTGCTTACAATATCTCACAAGTACTCTGAAAATAGATGCACAGAAAAGCTGAAAATAAACCAAATCCATGATCATGAGAACTCATGTAAATTTAGAAAGGGAAAAAAACAGAAGGGATCCTACCAAAAGGTGAAATTGTGTGATGTGTTGTGCCAATATCATGAGCATGGAAGACTAAAAGGCTTGTACACAGCTTTGTCAGACTTTTACGAAACCCTAACCCCAACAGTGTGGCGAACTTTCACTTCTCCACTCATTGATGTAATTTCATTCGTTCTTCGCTGTTTTCGCTTTTTCAAACTGGTCCATGTTTTTAACGTGCTCTATGTTTACTTATAACTTAATAGCGTTACACCTAATGCCAAAAATGCTTGGTAGTCACAACAACAATGTTGATACACTGAGTAGTCAATTTGTGACATCCATACAGATAATTCCTGGGATAACGTCTCGGTTGATTGCATACGTGCCATAGGGTGGTCAAGCAAGAGGTAAACTTTTACTTCCCACTAAAATGTAAAACCGCCATTTCTCCGCCAATACTTAGCCTTTTTCAAAAATTTTTTTCAGAAGTTAGAGATCATTCTTCGACCACTACTTTGAACCAAAAATCCAAATTTGAAGAAAATTGCTGACCCAAAGGTATACTGTAACCTTAATGTAACATTCGTTAATTCCATGAAGGATGAAAAAAGAGCTCGTACTGACAGTGGATAACAGGGCGCAGGATCAAAATTCCTACGTGACCTGTGCTACGCCACACAAGAAACAGCTATAAGTGAGCTAGGCACATTCAAAATCTGCTGTACTCTGGAAGACACCAAACAGATTGCTGACTTGCTCTATTTCAATCTTGACAAACTAACTCTCACACAACTTGCTGCACTAGCTAAAGGGGTCAAAACTCACTCAACATTAAATATTGAACACTCTGAATGCAAAGTAGATGCAACTCACACCCGGATAAACTTAGGAAAATTTTGTTACAACCTTTTGACACAGGAAATAGCTGGTGTTATCCAATGGAACAAAACTTCAGATATTAAGCACCATATCAACAGGCAACAAACAAGCTTAACACGCATCGGAAACAAACAATTGCGATCAATCCTTGTTTCTTGCCACCAGGGAACTGTGCCAGGATTTTGTTCACACAGACAAATGCACCCCACATTCTTCATCCTCTCCAATCTGAAGAAAAGAAGCCAAATTTTTCAAATCTTTTATTATCAGTGAGATTTATGAACAAACTTTTCAGCTCCAGAAAGCCAAAAGAAGAATTTCCAGATGAGTGGTATCTCTATAAGTCAAGGGTTATAGAACTTGGTTGCCAACTCACGCTGTACTATTCTTATGCAAGATGGAGTAGTTATGTGTTTATGTGGTTCTGGTATGGCGGCAACACATGTAATGTGTGACTCCGCAGTTTCTAAACCCTTTTGGGCTCCTCTTTGCTTATTGCTCCTTGTTTTATATGTGGTTCTGGAACCAAATCAACGCAGCAACCTTACAAGCCGAAGCAGCTGTGAAGCATTAAGATTAAAATTCCTGGAAGAAGTTTTATCATTTCGACTTCCTTCGAGGCATACACGCCGGAGGACGTTCATGCTGCTAAGGGTGCCTCACAACACGGGAGCTACAAGCTCGTTTCAACTGCACCTGAAGTCAGGGGATATTCATCCGAATCCTGGACCAAAGAAGAGAAATACCGCTAAATATCCTTGCGGAGAATGCCAATGCAATGTGCAAAATAATCAAGACGCCATTTTGTGTGTGGAATGTCAAAGGTGGTTTCATGCAATGTGCATCAATATGAGCAAAGCGACTTTCAAATACTATCTTAAGAATTTTAATCTCCCTTGGACCTGTTCCTTCTGCTCTTTACCGAAGTTCAGTGATTCTTTCTTTGAACAACCGAATGATGGTCCTGGTTCTTCGATAATCAATTCGCAGGAGGCTTACGGAGGTGTTGCTAGAGATTTGTGCATCGGCTCCTCAGATGATTATGCAGAACCCTCTGTTGTAGATGACAGTTTGAGGGAGTTTGCAATGAGCCTGCGGCAATCATCTGTTAAAGATTTTAAAGTGGCGCACCTGAATGTTAGGAGCCTTCGATCGAAGATTGATGAGATTCGCTTGCTACAAGAATTATGTAATTTCGACATTCTCGCAATAACAGAGTCGCATCTCGACAGTTCTGTTCCTGACTTTCATATCGAAATTGAGGGTCTTCGCTTTTTCCGTTTGGATAGGCCAAAACGTAAAGGAGGAGGGTGTGTGCTGTACTACGCGGAAAATCTTACTGTCATTTACAGAAGAGATCTGTCCGATAAGAACCTTGAGGCTATCTGGATTCAAGTGAATTTCCCATCAGTAACTGCTTTATTTTCTGTTATTTACAGAGCACCAGATGATAATGACTTCTTCGATAAATTTCAGAAACAATTAGAAAGCGCATGGCTCAGATCATCCTACA